TAATAATAATAATAATAATAATAATAATAATAATAATAATAATAATAATAATAATAATAATAATAATAATAATATAGGTCAATGAAGAAATGCTCTGCAAAGAATTTGCCACCTATGGATCAATTGCAAGCGTAAAAATTATGTGGCCTCGTACTCAAGAAGAAAAAGATAGAAATAGAAATTGTGGATTCGTTAGTTTTATGGATAGGGAATCTGCCGCACAAGCACTGAAAAATATGGATGGAAAAGAATTACTTGGATATGTGATGCGAGTTGGTTGGGGAAAAGCTGTCCCAATTCCACCAAAACCAATATTTGGTATATTTTTTATTCGTTTTCTTATTCCATTAAATTTTCCATTAATTTGAGGCCTATTTTTTTTTTTAGTCTTGGCTGAAAATTCCAGACCTCCGCCCAGCGGCATGCCTTTCAATGCTCAAGTTGTACATTCAAAAGCACCAACAGGCATGTTTTTAATAACCAATGTTTATATTTGATTTTTATTTGCTGATATTAACATGCTTCCACCTCGCACAGTTACGACATCCGTAAATGTATACTATCTCTTTATTCATCTTTGATGAATCGAAAATTTTTTATTCTTAACTCATTATTTTTATCTATTCTCAAAAGCAAGCAGCTAAAGGACCTCGACTTGAAGTACAAGTCGCAAAGCCAGAAGATCCACAAATAGTAAAAATAATACATCGTATGGTCGAACGTGTAGTAAAATACGGACCTCCATTCGAGGTAGTTGTCAACATTTAATTTTAAGCTGTGCAATAAGTTTTCGAAAAATATTAATATGAAATTGAGAAAACAGGCTTTGATAATGGACCGAGAATGGAATAATCCCAAATTTGCGTTCCTATTTCAAAACGAAGTAAGTGAATAAAAAAAAATGCTAATAAAATAAATCAGAAATCATCCGAAAATTTAATAAAAATGTTTTAATTTTGTAGTCAATTGAACATGTATATTACCGCTGGAAAATATATTCGATACTTCAAGGTGATCCAAAGAATAAATGGAGAACCGAGGCTTTTCACATGTTTGATGAAGGACCGATATGGGTTCCTCCGGAAATACCATTTGAAGAAGATGTTTGTATACAATTAAATGTGAATAATTTTAACGATTTACATTATTGCTAGATAAAAGTATTTTTTTTTGGGTAACAGGTAGTGGATGAGCTTCTGGATTCGGATGAAGAAGATGAACGAGAAAGGCTTCGAGTTCCAAAAGGTACTCTGGGACCCAAAGCAAAACATCGCCTAGAATTTATGTTACGAAAGATAAATTTTGAAAGAGGTGCTATTGCAAAAGCAATGGCATTTTCAATTGATCACTCTGACGCGGCTGAAGAGGTAAATTTTACTATTATGATGCATAGTAATCTTTTCCATAACTTGAGTGATACATAATCTTTCAATCTTCACAGATTGTAGATATAATATGTAAAACGCTTACTCTAAAGGAAACACCCGTTCCCACCAAAGTTGCACGACTATATCTTGTATCAGACATATTGCATAACAGTAGCGTCTCAGTGCCAAATGCATGGAAATTCAGGACTGGGTCAGTGATTTTGTTTGGTATTGTGTGTGTGCTAATGACCAAAAATTATACAAAAAACACATCTTTTGCTATTGGAATTATGAACAATTCATGTTTCGGAGACTAAATTCATGAATTGGTGAAACAGATTTGAGACTAGGTTACCAGAAATTTTTGAACATTTCAACGAGGCATATAGGTCAATCACGGCAAGGTTGAAAGCAGAGACTTTTAGGGTAAGTCAATACAACTGAGAATTTTGAACATTCTTGTATGTCTGTCTGCCTAGTCGTCGACCTGGATTTTCTTTCAACCATCGCGTGCGAAAACACGTATGCTAATATTGTTTGGGTATTGAATGAGATTTTCAATCACAAAAGAAAAAAAAAAAAACGAAAAAGATCAAAATTAAAGATGGGAAAGACAAGAAAAATTGAAATTATATTTTAAATACATGTTACCCTTTTTTATTACTGTCGCTCACATCCCGCTTCCGTGGACTTTTGATATACATATTATACATTATATATACATATATGTTAAATTACACACATACATAACAGCGTCAGATTACTACTTTACTAAGCGTCTGGGAGAATTGGATTGTCTTTCCGCAACCGTACATTGAATCCTTAGCAAATACATTTATGAAGAATACTAAGGAAGGAGAAGCACCAATAACTTCAGATGATGCTATGCAAATAGCTCAACCACCACCATTGGATATGGAAACGGATGACCTTGAAGCAAATAATGGTGATGATAGCACAATAAGACAGCCACAGATGCAAGACGTGGCGAATCCTAGTGTGACGAATAGATGGGATTATAATATACAATATCAACACTCACATCAAACAAATCAAGAGGAAGAATCGATCAATCAGGCTACAAACAATTCACGCCTTTTTCCAGAAGGGCCCCCTCAACCCTTATGGCGAAGGAGTCCGACCTCACATTCTACTACTGCTACTACTACTACCCAAGCACGGATAGAAGAAGAGGAAGTGGATGACATTTTTGCATGATGATGATGATTCGCATTCCTCATTGCGTGAAACAATTTCTTCTTTTTTTGCATTTCGTTTTTTTTTCGAATTTCACTTCTAAGCTTCCCTAGTGTATTTATTTGTGAGAAAGAAATTAGGTGAAAATTTCGTGTATAAATTAATTTCGACGATAAAAAATGAGACAACGGATATTTTCACTTTAATAATCATTGTACTATTTTTTACATACAACTTAATAGATTTACTGGATATTATTATTAGTATATTAGTGGTGGTACACAGATTAAATCAAAAGAAAGAAAAGAATCGTCCAAAGTAATTGATTTTAACATCGAATTGAATTTGTGCGAATAAACAGAAAAATTCTCGTCTAAATTACAGTTTGAATTGCGCATATATATTGAAGATTCATAATTTTACTAATTAAAAAGTTGTTATTCTTATGTTAGAGCTGATTCATAGACTTGTTCCAAATTTTTCAAAAATTCACGTATTACTGCTTTTTTCCCATTCTTGACTGGTAGTGTTATTTCGTGAAAATAGTCTAAAATAATGGTAAAAGACGAAAGACCCATATTCGCGCTATATGTAATGAATAGTATAATAATATGAGCTGAGCTTAAAACACGTGTTTTTTAATAAAGTGAAATTGAAATAATACACACGATTGTGAAATCTCTGTTCCTTTGTCCTTGGCTTGTGATACTGTTGATATAAAAAACATTGCCTACCGACAAAATATCGGAATTAATAATAATTAACTATCTGATCACTATCGTTTGCATTATATTAATAAATAAATAAAAGAAACTTACTATCGTTTGCATTAACGGTAGAGAATCTATCGTTGGCCATAATCCCAAAATTATGTCCGTCAATAAAGGATTATCTTTGAATATTTTTTCATGATGATTTAGAATTGATAAAATTGATTCACTTTGGACTTTATGATTAATAGATTCTATGTAGATTAAAAGGTAAACTTTCTGATCAAAATTAAAATTTTGATTATTAATTATTATCTTTAACTATATAAATACCTCTAAGTGACATAATAATATCAGCGATGGTGTTTTTAAGGTTCAGAATGACGCCATCATCCAGCGGACACACAAGCCATGTCAAGTTGTCGAGAGGTGCTTCCAGCTATGAGAATTTCCATTAGGACCTCTATAAATAAAATTTTAATCATGCTCATGTAGAAGAACTGAATCCTTCAAAGAAATGCTACCATCTTCCCTTTGTTTGAACTCTGCTGTAACCAACCAAATAAATGGAAAATCGTCAAAACACGCACTGCACTCTACTACTCACTTGATTGATTTCCGGGTACTTCTCTTGGTCAAAGATTGCCTCGATTATCCAATGCCGCCACTTTGAGAAAGCAAGAAGTAATAACCACACTTGTTTACGATGTAATTCATGATCACTGGGCAGACCTTCCAAAAGTAACTCTTTCCGAGCCATATTGAGATGAGAGAACGTTTCCGGGTCCTGGATATCATCACATAATATCGAGACTAATTTATCTAATGGTTTAGACACATACTACAGGAATAATGCAAAGGATTAGATAACCTAATATTATATTATATTATATTAAAAGCGAGACGATCCTAACCAATTCGATATTTCTATTTGCTTTTACGATATCCTCGAATAAACTTTCAATAAAGTATCGTGCAAGACGTAAAATACGCCAATCGCGTGTCTCATCCATCAAATTTAATAACACGTTGAAGCATGTATCAAATATCTTGGGACAAATTTTTATGATTCGAAATAATTGTGCATCTTTATAGTAATTTCTGATGGTTGGAGGCGATCGGTATTTATTAGACGGAAATAACAATTGTCCAAACAAAGTCAACACCTATATTAACAGAGTAATTAATTAGTTAGTTACTTATATATCTGATAAGTATCTTGATAAAAAGAAATTACCTCATATTCGACGACAAAAGGGAAATATTTACACAGCCTTGTTAATGAAATCAAAAAAGTTAGAAAAATTTGCTCAAATAGCTACGGCGTAAATAACTTATATTATGATAAGATACCCAATTTTCGATGATTCACTGAGTTTTTGGTAAAATTCTGGTCTAAAAAAGACCAAAGTTTCGACAAAAAAATCCGAAAGTGAATCAGCAGAATTACTATCAGCTGCAGTACGAATAATCCGATCCACTAAATATGAATTGTTGATATCATTCAAAAGTGGAATACATTGTTTCGATAGATTTTTCAAACAAGTTGCCTTTATATATAAATTTAGGTGTTAATTAATTCAATATTTACAAGAGAAACAAAAATCAGCGTGTTCGCTTACAGATGGATACACGGATAAAAGTTCCAAATTATCCAGACATTGTGTTATAATGGCAACAGATTCATTTATTAAGTAATGATTTCGTTCGATTGAGCCGGTTTGACAATAATATTCCATCAACTCCACGATATCCTTACTGATATTTACATTTTTGCACTTTGTTATTGAACGAAACGCACGTATACACCAATCAATCGGTCTATGTTCGAATGTTACAAGAATAAGTTGTCAAGATCGAAAATAAAAAGATATTTATCTCGGAGAATATTCACCTTTTTAGCTCTGTCAAGAATGCTGATGCGAGATCAAAAATTTTGGCGTATTCTACGATACATCTGACAATCAAATCAAAAGTTTTTGGATGAAGCAAAAGGATTTTATTCGGCTATATAAATAAATTGAGAAATGTATTTCAGAACACCAAAATCTATTGGATGACTTGTAAAAATAGTTGATAAAAAAAGATACCACGAATTCTCCCAGTACACGCACGCCTGGTGAGAACCTAGTTGCACATTCGTGAACATCGGCGCAAGCAGTAATTTGCTGATTTATAATGTTAAGAAAGAATTAATGATCTTGAAGAGGTGTGTTAAATAAATAAGGACTGAATAAAAAAAAACCTCGAGCAACATTTCCAAAAACTTATTTATTTTATCGACGTTTTTCACAATATCCACTGTTTGACAAGTAAATATATTAGGTTTTTCGAGGCAGGAGGTAGTGGGATTCCAATTTGACACCAATTCTTGAGTCGAGTTCCATTCCATGTGGCATTTTAAAATAGCGCGAAAATTTACGCGTATTTATTTTTAGTTAGTGTAAAGATCGACAAACATAATTTCCCGAAAAACGTCATCACGCAGTAACTTTGATCTTATAGCAAAAATCCATTATATTTTTGCACGTAATTTTAGTAATGTCCGAGTCTGCACAAAAGACCGAAGTTATTCCAACTACTACAAATTCTAACCCAGACCACTTATCCACGCCGGAAATCACTGTCGAAATAGAATTAAAATCAGACGAGCAGAAACCAGAAACCGAAATGGTAAGCCAATTTTTCTTTATAAATAATGCTAGTAAACTATTCCGTGTATTTTAACCTTTTGCTTTTACATATTTAATTAATGATAGGAATCAACAGCAAATCTTCTTTCTAGCGCTTCACCCTTCGCAGGAGTTGAAGGAGACATCGAGTCCGCTTCTATAGGGGGAACACGAGCCAATTCAACTTTTATTGACAACAATCAGGATAAACAAAATATTTGGCAAAAATCTAGGTACAATTTCAAATAGCAGGACTAAAAGTACATGCATTCTCTTTTGGTAGATAGCTTCACGCATAAATTTGGTACAATAAGCACAATTAAAAGAATTAAAAGGCTTTTTTTATAGTCACCCGGTGGCTTTAGCCTTCCACCTGCTTTTTCGGACCGCAGCTCTACTGGTTTACATGTTCGGTGTTCTCTTCTCGGATAATTTTCCTTTAATCTTTATTACATGTGTTTTGTTATTAGCATTTGATTTTTGGACGGTGAAGAATGTTACTGGACGATTATTGGTTGGTTTGAGGTGGTGGAATGAAATTCAAGAAGACGGTTCAAATGTGTGGATGTTCGAAAGTAGAGATGTAAGTCAATTTTTTGTTATTTAGAAAAAACACATATTAACATTTGTTTTATATATATCTATATATGCTTACTTTTTATTTTCGAATACGTGGAAAAAAAGCCTTCACGTCCAGTCAATCAGACAGATGCTCGCGTCTTTTGGATCTCTTTATATGTGACATTTGTAGCATGGATAATTTGCGGGATTTTGCTTGGAATTTTCAATGCAAAATGGTTTTTGTTAATTGTAGTGGCATTAGTTTTGAATTTTGCAAATGTACTGGGCTACACGCAATGTGATAAGGATGCAAAGAAAAAATGGGCAACCGGATTTGCTGCACGTGCAGCTACTGGAAACGCTGGTTTCGCTGGAAAATTATTCTCGGCTAGTCTCGGGAAAATGTTTAAATGATTCATCAAGAATCATGCAAAAAATTTAATGTCATGGACATATTATCACTGATAATTAAATGTAGTATTTTTTATATTTATCAAAATAATTAATTCATTATTCTAAAATATCAAAGGATTGATAGAGATAATAATCATTTTTCATCGATCTTTCACTTATTTATTTCGCATAAATTTTAGAGAAAAAAATTTTTTTGAATTGAGAAATCTCTTAATAACCTAGATGCTCATACAAGAAGAAGCAAGTGAGCTAGCAAATGATGATACTTATGCTGAATAAACACTTACCATTTATTTCTCAAACGGCAGATTTATGGGTTATTTATTATTTGCCGTCCAATAACCCGAACTATTAATCTTCAATCATGGTCTTCTTCTGTAGCGCCAGGACATTGATTGGTCAGTTCTTCGATGTTCGAGTATTCGTGACCACACCAAAAACAATAAAAATACTGATCGCGAAGATAAGCAAGTATACGTTCGATTTTTTGCGAATTCTAAATGAAATATTTTATGAACCATTGATTAATTAAAGGAATGGATTAAATAAATAAAAAAATCACACTAACCTCAAGCGAATCAAATTCTGATTTTTGCTTATCTTCATCGGAAATCTATTGAAGATTGATGAATATTAATGTATTAATTCATAGAATTCAATTTGAATAATTGTACAAACCTCAAGCAATTTGAATTCTTCAGGTTCTTCTAATTTGATTTTTGGTTCATCTTCGTCTGAAAATTGATCGAGCTTTTTGATCGAGCTCTTTTCTTCATCACACAGCCAAAAAATATTGTACTATAGAAATAAATTACTGAATTATATATACTCTACCAATAATAAAGCTATAATTGCGGCTCTAGCATTTCTCACCTCTATTCCCTATTAAAAAAATGATGATGATAATGAATAATGAGCAATGAATAGCAAGCACATTTATCAAGATAACATTACCCTTTTCGAGTCTAATGTCTCGCATATTCGTTGGATAGCTTTTAACTGCCTTTCAACGCGTTTTGCAATCCTCTCATCTCGTAAACGTTCGACATATTCGTCTTCTTTTATTTTCGTGCGTTTTACATTTTCTTCCAATCTACTCAATTTACGCTTCTTTATTTCTGTTGACATTCCTAAACCCAAGCGGTCTTAAAAAAGGCAATAATTATGATTTGAGCAAAAAATTTGATAAAATATATTTACCCTTGAAACAAACGTGAAATACCCTGTTTTAATTCTACTGTTAGTGGTTCACTTAATGCCTGAGAACCTTCACTTTTTCCCAATTTCATGCCCTTTTCATAACCCATCTTTCTTAGCAATTTTAAGCCAGGTGAGGAGGCATTTTCTTCGGTGTCAATGGGTTTACTGAGCCCTTCTTCACGAAGCTCCTTCTCTAAAACCTTGCGAGGTTTATTGTAACCTAAATTCGTAAATTGGTTCTGACGTCTCCTTTCGGAGTAGGTCTTTGGTTTCTCTTCATCCGGAATTTCTGAAAGGAAACTAGAGGACATGTAATCGTCTGAATCAGAATTTGACATTGTGCATTGTGAAATTCGAATTTTGAAGTATTCAAACAGTAATACATGTAGTTGGAGCGATAATTTATTTTCACATGGGAATAATTTTCAAAAATATTAATTACATTGTGTAACGTATGTTTCAGATAAGCAACTTTTTTCTTTGTAAAGCGATTAAAAATGGAGTCCTCTGATAAAAGATGTACAGTCGTCGACGAAGACGATGATCTTGACGATTTACTTGATGGTATACTATGCATCTGGAAGGTGTTCTTGTTATACCTTTGAAGAGTCAAAGTCTTATAAAAGCTTCATTCTTTAGACGTTTTGGAGAATTTTTCAAATGTTTCTGTTTCAAGTTCCTCTAAAGCAAACTCCTTAAATAACTCTTCGACAAATAATCCTCCGACAAATAATGCCTCGACAAGTAATGCTTCGACAAGTAATGCCTCGACAAGTAATGCTTCACCTGATCTCGAGAACTCTTTAAATGGGCTTGAGGACGAAGAATACGCTCAACAGTTCACAGCTGAAATGGAAGCACTTGTCAAGAAGCTTGGAGACCCCGAAGAATTAAGGCAAACTTTTGAAGCCTTCTTAAAGAATGATCTTACTGAATCAACGGAAGCGACTAGTGACAGTAGCAGCGGCAACAACAAAAAATCATTTCAAGAAACGATTAATCAAACAATAAATAAATTACAGAAAAGTTCAGATCAAGTTGACGTAGGTCATGCCTCAAACTGTTGTTTTCCGATTTTTCAGCTAATCAAGTTCTTAAAAATATATAATAGGCGGAAGTTACTGAGGAGGAAGTCAATGAAGAATTTCTTGCCGAGATGATGAGACAAATGGAAGGATTACCATATAACGGTGATATTCAAGATATGTTCGAAAAAGTGATGGAACAACTTACATCAAGGGATATCCTTTATGAACCTATGAAACATTTAGCTACGAAGGTATGACAATCAAATGTTTCATTGTGTATCGGTCAAAGGAATCATTACTTCTAAAATTAACGGACAAAGGTGTCATCATTGCACCCTCTTACTTTTGTCTTGGCGGCACTATTATTATTAAGTACCCGGAGTGGCTCAGGGACAATAAAGACAAAGTATCGCAGGAGGAATACGAGAGGTATAAAGGTCAATCGGACTACGTACAAAAAATTGTCGCGTACTTCGAGGCGCCGACTTATAGCGAAAACAACGAGCAACAAAACAAAGAATTAGTGGATCTAATGCAAAAGGTAATTGACTGATTTTTAATTAACAACACGTTAGATTTATTAATACAAAAAAATAATTTACCCTCTTTAATTTTTTAGCTACAAGATTTCGGTCAACCGCCTGCCGGCGTTCTTGCAGATTTGGCGCCAGACTTGGAATTGGATGAACAGGGGCTTCCAAAATTTCTGCCTGCAGATATGGATAAATGCAGTATTATGTAGAGAAACAAATTTCGAACTTTATTATTATTGTATTTAAATTATCTGTTTGACGATTTTTTTTGTTTGGAAAGTGGAAATATTTCAGGACTAATTAATGATAACGGTCATCAAGTAATTTTTTTTAGCACGTGTTTTTATACTTTAGGAATTTTATTTCAACAGAAAATACGTTTAAAAACAATGAGAATATATTATTCTTTCAAAGTAGAATAGAAAATATATTCATTAGGTGTATTTTTTAATTAGCACAATGTAATGATAGTTGAATTAAAGGTAGCAATAGTAAAGGTGTGTATACATTTGATTGAGATTATGTGCGAAAGTAAATACTACCCAACATCTCAAAAACTATCGAGAACGGGCCCTGTACTTTAGCCGATGAATGGTTGAGTTCGTCAAACAAAAAACTTTGCAAGACTTTTGCTGTCATCATTCTTGTTCTTAATCTCGCCATGATCATCCAAAGTATTAAGAAAGTTTTTCTCAGATTTTTCTCTACTTTGGATATCTTTTGGCATTAAATTCCTCAGGCCGTGTGTCTATTAGATTATTAATAAATCGAAACATCCAATTGCTAAAATATATCCACAAGAAAGAATATAGAACATCCGATCCAGCCCTTAAAAGCGCGAGAAAAAATTTATTCCTATATTATATTAAGTGTCTATATATGTATGATTAATCCTCCATTTGATTTACTATGTATCTTCTAAAATGTCTTTTATAAATAAGCACACGTTTCAATTTTAATACTTAAAGTAATATCGTTTTACAAGTGCCCACGTCCCTGCCGCACTAGCACAAATTAGAGATGCTGCTGATGCAGCTCTTATACCAGCTAGAAGCGTAAATCACAAAGAGAGTATATTCAGGTCAAATAAAAATCCTTCAAACATAAATCAGAAATAAAATTTTCTCTACCTGTTGATTTAAACATAGCTCCAATCAAAGCACCTGACCCAATTTCATTTAAAGTGTCTCGCTTCCCTCTTACATTTCCCATGATTCCATTAATTGTATTGTAACCCATGGCTAAATTAAAAGATAAAATTATCAAAATCTTGAAGGTCAAAAAATCAAACGCATGATCGCTCGAACAATAGATGCATACATACCTAATACGCCACACGAATTTCCCACAAAGGGTCCACGTCTGGTAACTGAATTTAATATTGTGTTAAGACGAAGCTTGAAATTTGGGCTATGACCACGAAAACCCTCCATTAAACCCCAAGTACCACCAAACGATAAACCTAAATGTGGCGATGGTAATAATGTCAAGTCAAAGCCAAAACCAAATAACGCGTAAAATCATAGATAAAGGTTATAAAAAACATGCCAGTCAAATATGTCGTTCCTGTCCCATAACATAGATCGTCTAATATTCCTCTACTTGGAATTGCTCCCCGCGTGACTTGATGTTCTTCAAGTGGCAAGAATTCTAGGCCACCGCCGAGACCGGCCATTTCTCTTAGTCGAGCAGACCCTAGATTCACATTACCCAGAAAGTCTGATACAGAACCAGGATCCGACTCAATATTAACTGTAAATTTAGGTTCTTGAAAGAGACGTCTTTCCGATTCTGCGGACTGATCTGGTGTGAATGACATTTCGTATAATCAAACGAAAAAATTTCGGTTTTTACTAGATATAGATAGTAAGTTGGCAAAGAAAAATAAATTTTTCATCCAATCAACGAATTTGGAAAGATCAAATATCGATATTCGTGTTGTTTGAAATACTTTGACCCAGGGTGTTGAGCAAATATGAGACCAGCCAGAAAACAAGTAATAAGACATTTTCTTTTTTATTAACTAACGAATTCACTTTTCTCTACCTCTCACAACTTATGCAACCTACAGGTGGACGAATCTGTTTTAAAAGAAGGTCCAAGTAGAGGTCCACCCATAGATCGTTCAGGCACCTATTACAACATTTGGTACAATAAATGGACCGGCAGTGATAAAATCCCTAGGTTAGGAAAAACTATTGGTTTACTGTTGGATGAATTGGAGTCTAGTCTATCTAATTCGAAGATAATTGGAAATCTAGGGGGGAGAAGGCTAAAACAAGGTGTGACGTTGAATTAGACGTGGGTGAAACAAAAGGTGATAACATGCCGAATACATCCTTCTGCTTATACTTCGCTAGAGGGTGCTGTCCATTCGGGTAAAATTATTAAACATTGAATTGTTAACTTTACTCGAGCATTTCGATGAAGAAAAAGTTAATTATTTTATAGAAGTGAATGTAATTATTGGCATCGGATACCTAATGAATCCGATCTAGTGGATACAACAATTGACTCGTTTGGTCGTGATAAATATAATGAATATCGTGAAGATATGGGTGGCGTTGGTTCTTTTAATCGAGAGAATCGGACACTTTACGTTGGTCATATTTACATAAAACCAGATATGGAGGTATAGGAACAATATCCTATTTGAAATCGATTAAAACGATATCTAATTTTTTTAATTTCTAGGAAACTGTACGTAAACATTTCGGTGATTGGGGCGAAATAGAAAAAAGTAAGTAGAAAAAAATAATTTGCCCATAGTCTAAGATTGTTCCAGTGTCTTTCGCGAATCTGATATTTTTTTCATTCATCAGTAAAGATATTGAAAGATAAAGGAGTCGCTTTCGTTACCTATAAAAGTTCACTTAATGCGGAATTTGCCAAAGAAGCTATGAGCAACCAAAGCCTGGATAATAATGAGGTATTTAGTTCTACATCAAAAAATCTTTATCACGATTTTTGTTATTACAACTTAATAATTATTAATGTCATGTATATTAGGTTCTAAATGTTCGGTAAGCTCAGACTCGATATAAAAGTTGAATTATTGATTTCAACTCACCTTTGTATTTTTATTTCTAGATGGGCAACCGATGATCCAAATCCTAAGGCTAAAGAAGAATATAAACGAAAAGCAGAAGCAATGGCTGCACAAGCTATACAAAAGAATCTACCGGCAGAGTTTACCCTTAGTAACGCTGATTACGTGTATAAGCGTCCTCGATTAGGTGAAAATACTGATGCTGAAAGCGATCAATCTCTTCAGGGCTTACCGATTACCCCGGGAAATGAACAGCCAATGGTAAATACAGGGGAATCATCAATGATACCCGATCAAGCTTCCTTCATGAATACTACTATACATAGGAAAGGAGGAATTCTTTCCGAAGCGACCTTGCAAACCTTGAAATCTTTATCGATGATTAATCGATCTATGACTGTTCAATCTCAACAACTGGCACAAAAACCAAAGACCAATAAAAGTGCACTGGGAGGATTAGCAGATTATGAAAGTGACGAAGAAATGGAATCAGAAGTTATTCAACAGAATAAAGACATAGGCGCTTTAACTGACCAAAAGAAATCAGAACAAAACATCTCTTCTGAATCCCATAAGAATTCAGATGAGACTAATAACAACAACAACGACGACGACAACAACGACAATGACAACAGCAATAATGACAACAACAATAATGACAACAGCAATAATGACAACAGCAATAATGACAATAATAACAATGATAATAACAACAGCAGCAACAATAATGATAATGATAAGAATATTGTCACAGAAGTGGCCAACGCTCCATCGAAAAATGAAACACCAGCTGAGAGTCAAGTTAAAACAGAAGTTCCATTAAATGAAGAAATGGTTGAGAATCAAGTCAAAAAAGTTGTAAAAACCAAGACATCAAAGAAAAAAACCACTACTACTGTTGTTAGACGTAGTACTAGAAAAACTCGAAAAAATTAAAAGGATATTTATTGTATATTCCATATCGATATGTAATATAGTTATCTTTTTTTTTACAAAAGTATGAACGCGAAAAATATACTAGCAATCATTCACGTGATTTTTATTAAAGACGCGACTTTTATTAATTCCAACTGAATTACAAGGAACAATTGAAAATCAAGACCAAAGAAATTTTGCGTTTAGTCTCCATTTAAAAGCGAATTAAAAATTGCATTTATTGTAGAGTTTATATCGAAGGCAACTCTACAAAACAAATAAAGGAGAGGCAGAAGGGAAATATCAAAGAAGTTGAAGTTAGAAGGTAGATGATGTGAAAGGTAGAAGAATGAGTTGGAGAAGAAGGCGGAGATACAAAGTCATAAAAAGAGATGGATGTTCCTCTTTCTATTAAAGTAGTAGAATCAAGATATTATTCCACCCTGTTTAATAAATTGTTGGAATTATTGGACTTTACGTCAATTTGAATCAAAGAGCGAAAATATCTAATCTTGTCAATTTCAACAAGCTTGAAAACTGTTATTACCACTTTGACGATAACAACTAAAGTTTGTTACATTGTATAATAAGGAAGTCACGTTAGGAATTTAAATGTATCATAGGAATCGGGAAAACTCAATATCTCTATTAAACTTTTCGTAATGAATCACATTTCATTATTGCCACCTTCTCCAAATTGGAATGCTTCAAAAGCCTGTTCGTTTTCCGAACAAGCAAACATATATGTCTATGCCACTAATGAACTATTAATGCTGCTGAATTTGCAAACCCTAAAATATATTGGGTATTTAAAAGGCCATTCTGACAGGGTGAACGCGTTAGAAACGTGTGGTACTTTATGTGTATCCGGAAGTAATGATAAATCGGTCCGATGTTGGGATATGCTTGCTCTGAAAGAAACTGCGATATTAGAAGGCCATAAGGCATCAATTTTCTCTTTAAGACCTTAAAATCGATTTAAAGAAACTTACTTTAATTTAATTTAATTTAATTGATCGCCCGAATTAGAGCGAAGTTACGTCGGTTGCGTGGATGACAAATAAAGAGTTGATCGTATCAGGTCTGGATGAAACTTAATGACGCTTGTATTTTGAATTAAAAATCTAACTAATTTTGTGTATAGGCGACAAATCCGGCGAAATTATAGCATGGAATCCCAAAACTAATCAGAAAGCAAAATTTTCATTTCTAAAATCTCCAATCTATTGTATTTCATCTTCCCCTACTCATGATCATATTCTAGCTTTTGGGTAGTATTTATTTTTACAAATCCACTATTTCACAAAGTTTTTTTTTTTTAACTAATTGCATTTATTTTATATTTATAGATTTCAAAATGGAAGTATTTTAATTGTAACGATCACATCTGATTTTCGACGAGAAATTGTCTATAATCTACAAGGACACGATCAAGAAATTCATGGGTTGTCTTGGCAAGACTCTTCAGGTAATAGAGCTATAACACATTTCACTAGATCTTTATACATTATTTGATCATACAATTGTGATTGTATTAAAAAGGGGTTGATCCAAATAATCAGTACACTCTGCTCGCTTCTGGCTCTCGAGATAAGACGATCAAGATTTGGAATGTATCCGAAGAAAAAGCGATAAAAACCATCTCATTACCACCACCTACACAAAAGCTAACTGAACAACAAAAGAGTAGATTATGGCTTGCTTTGAGCTGGGTACCTGGTGCAAACAAAATTATCACGAGCTCCTTTATGTAAACAATGACAATGAAATTGAAATTAATTTTCGTTTATCACATCGACTAATTATCTGATTACTGATAAATAAATAACAGGGGAAACTTAATGATTTGGGATCTTGATACACTCAACCCACAATATCGATGGTTTGCAAAGGGTCACAGCCGAAGTGTTTTCTCCATAATATTGTCGTCAGATGGAATGCAAGCAATGACAATATCAATGGACAGACAGGTAGATTAAAATTTCTGGTCTCATCGTTGCAATAAATTATCTAAATAATATCCTCAACTTCTAAAAGATAATAAAATGGAGTATAGAGGAACTGCGTCCTCGGCTAATATTGCCCTGTCTTTGCCTTGGAGTGCATAGTTTGGACGTTTCTCGTCCCGATCCATCAAAATTAGCAATTGGACTTGGTGACAGTACAATTCGGATTTGGAATTTCGGGAATCCTGAAAATCCATTTGACTCGAGTTTATTATGGAGAGGCTTAAAAAGTCAAGTAACATGTGTGGGTATTTATTTTGTTTTATTTTTTTTTTTACTTTAAATAAAAAAATTATTTCAAATTAAATAGATTGGTGTATTTTAGCTTAAATGGCATCCGACCCAAGAAGGAAATCTTGCTTTTGGAAATGGATTAGGAATTTTAGGGCTTATGGATGTTTACACTGAACGCTGTAAAAGTTTTCAATCACATCACAAAGGCAAAGTATATGCACTCGATTGGTGTCAAAAGCAATGTTTGAGCATTAAGGCAAACAATGAAGAGGATGAGAAGGGCATGTTCTTGTTTAGCTGTGGTGCTGAAGGAATAGTTTATATTAGTGATACACAAAGGCCCAACAAAGCTTCAATAAATATAAACCAACTAATTGAGAATGGAAATGCTGAATGGATGGAAAAAATTAAGGTTTATATTTGTTTAATTAATTCAAGGAATCTGAATTCATCCATTTGATAAAATTTTCTTTTGTTAAATCTAAATAGAGTGGTTCTGCATCTTTTCCTCATCGAACTGAAGTTGCAGTCCACCCGAAGGGTACATTTATAGCAATAGGAAATAAAGACGGCTCAATCCAAGTATTTGAATTACCTTCTTTCAAAATTGTATATCATTTTAATGGACATCATGGAATAATAAATCGGCTTAGTTGGTGTGATGCAGGTTAGTTCAGAAAGTTTCCAATCGATATTTATATTAATGTCAAATATTGAATCTTGGTATTTTGAAATTCAAATAAACTAGAATCTCTACTGGCTTCAGGCTCTAATGATTGTAAGATCATGATTCACGACTTAAGTGATACGGATAAATTAGCTTCTACAGGTTAATCAATTAATATGTCTTGTTTTTCCAATTAATTACTCGTCCATTTAATAATAACAATATTTATTTTATTATAGTGGATATCCCCACATCAAATTGCATGAAAGTTTTGAATAAACATACGAATGGAATATCGGATTTTTCATGGTGTCCAGTTGATAAAAATAAACTTGTATCATCTTCTTTTGACAGAACAGCCATTGTAAGAGTAGCTTGCTTGCTATATTGCGATTTTTTAGTGATTATTATTTAGCGTTTTTTTCTTTACCTTTTGACATTGAAGGTATGGGATATATCCAAAGGAATTCCTTTATCGATTTTTCGTGGACACGAAGGTCGATTATTGAGTACCGTATGGAGCTTAATAGATGCCGACTTAGTATTTACTGGTGGTGACGATCAAATGTGCTTTGCATGGAGACCTTCAGAACATCAATACGATGAAGCAGCAGGCAAGAATATTTTACACTTGCTCACGTATGATATTCTAATAATAGAAAAAAATTTCTCGATTTGATAGAAGCTTTAAGATTATCCAAAAAGAAAAGCAAAATCCAAGAAGAATCAGCTGCGAAAGAAGTGACAACAAAATTTATCGAAGAATCTAGCACAGGAATTGATATCAAAGTACCTGAAGCTGTATCCCGAAAACATGGACGATCCACCAAAAAGCAAAAGCACAAAAATTTCTTCCCGCTAAGCAGTCAGCCAGTCTCACGACAGACTCTTCAGAACGACACATTTCAACTTGCCAAAAGAATCTATGGTGGCAATTGGGATGCTGCAATGGAATTTTGGAATGAGAATATGCCAAAAAATAAAAAGGCCGCTGAAATAAAAGATTCTTCCCCTTCGATATTGAGCAGGAGTCTTTTCGGAGAAAGGAAGGAAGTTCGAGAAGTCATAAAATCTGAAGGTAATTTAAGGATATTGGCTGTTATTATATCCAATATTAATATTAATAATATATTATAGTTAACGTTCATAATATCAGCGATACACCTGCCATTATGGGTGGCTTGGAAGGTATTAACATCAGCTTACCATTGAATGTCTGGACAAACAATCTACAGGAAATAATTGAGTGCAATGAAAACAAAGAAGTGACAAATCAAGACTGGCTGATATTAGCGTTGAGTCCTTCAGGTAATTAAACATTGTATAATTTACTGGATATTTTTCACGATATTATTTTTTCGCTAAAATTGTAATTTAAATCTAGCTGGACGAGATGTTTGGGAATCATTAATGCGCAGACAAGCGCAAAATTTAAAGAGGAGAAACGATTTTCATTCAGCTGCAATGTGTTCTTTAGCCTGTGGAGATGTATATGAAGCTATAGATGCATATCGTCACGGTAAAATGTTTCGGTAAGTAAAAGTTGAATGCTTAAATGAACTTTTTGGCAAGACACATTAATAATCATGTCATAATACAGAGAAGCAATTATGCTAGCAAAGATTCGAATCCCACTCGATGACCCTGTCCTCTCGGATCTGTATTCGGAATGGGCGGTGCAACTTGAAAGTCAGAGCCGCTACGAAGAAGCAGCCATGTGGTAAATTCTTTGATGACATTTATTTACTAAAAGCTTATTAAATCTTCAAGTTATTTTTTTCCTAGTCATCTCTCTTCACAAAAACCCGCTACAGTTCAGCATGCGCTCAATGATCTGGCTCGTCAAGGAGATCCTTCATCACTTCGTGCTTCCGCATGCTTAGCCTTACTGCTTGATGATCCCTCTGCCAACGAGAGGATATCAAGATATAAAGAAGATTATGAAAGTCGCGCTAGTACATCGATCGTAGTCGAGGGTATCGAAATAAGCGAAGCTGCATCAGCTTTAAGTACAGCTGAGAACGAGGAAACAATCGATAATCTTGAATTGAATGAATCAATCGAATAAACATGAAATTACAATAGTAATGCATATTATATTATATATTCTCTTAAAATATCAATTTAAAGAACTGTGAATTGTTTGTTTTTTGATGATTTGTGACAACATTTGTTGATTCGATACTCTTAATAGATAAAGCTACTGTACAGGTGAAGATATACAGTATAGAGTCTTATCATTATTATTTTATTAAATTTACTTTTTGGTAGGTTTATCTCTGGCAAATGTTTTTTTAGCTAGTTTTTATTATGCTATTCATTTGATTAAGATATCTTAATAGCGCGTCACGCAAATCTTCCTTTTTTGCTGGTTTTGAGACAAAATCATTCATCCCTGATTCTATACAACGTAACCGGTCGAGCCATAAGGCATTTGCTATTATTTAAAAATAAAAATTAAATAAGAAGTCCAATTTCTCATTATATATCGGTGAATAACATGTTATTATACCTGTAAGTGCTATAATCCAAGGTCGTCTCATATCTCGACATATATTTCGAATAAGTTCTGTCGTTTGGCATCTGTCAAATATATGATTATTAACTTGATGTTGTAATAAGTTACAAATCATACGCATAGAATCGATAAATACATACCCATCCATATCAGCCATACTTATATCCATAAAGATAACATCATACTCCTTTTTCTCACATTTCTGAATAGCAGTCTTTCCATCACTAGCAATGTCACATGATTGATTAAGTTTTTTCAGTATTCTCGAGGTGACCAACTGATTTATTGAATTGTCTTCTACAATGAGAATATCCATTTTCGGTAGTTCACCATTTGAACTTGTCTTTCCGTTTAAGTTTGTAGATGCTGTTAAATTATCTGATGCTTTTGTATTACTACTATTATTCTTATCATCATCCATTTGCATTATAGGCGAAGAATTAATCAATCTATGATTTACAGTAGACCCAATTTCATTTGGTACTGTGACAGGCGAGGAGGTTCGTTGTGGCCGATTATTATACCCGCCAGCAATCGATAGCAAAGCACTTTTGTCATTTTCCATTATCCAAGAAGATGCAAAATTAGTAGCAACACCATTTTTAGTTGTCATTTTTGGAATGGGAGTGGTATTGTTTCTTCGTGTAACATATGTCCCAGTAGAACTTGAACGTTTATCCGCAGTAGCATCATCTGATGTAGATCTATTATGTTGACGTTTAGGCCATGAATCCTTGGAGAATTCACCTCCATTTTCATCCGTATCAAGTAAATTCATTTCCTCGTCATCAGAAATATCGTAATTTATTATGCCATTTTCAATTGTCCTTAATTCTACCATATTAATATTATTACTGTTGTTATTGTTAGCATTGTTGTTATGATTACCTTTAAATGAATTAGAACTTCGATGACTATAATATCCATTTGCAGAATTAGCAGAACCATTGATTTCTATCATATTATTAATATCGTTCGTAATTGTTGTAGCTGATGGGCAATCTTCCGCTAATAAAGATGTAATGGTGGCAGCAGTACCCATATCCACAACATTATTCAATTCCCACTCCAAAAATTTGAGCATTGGCTTAAATTTGACGGGTAACGAAGAACACATTACATTCCCACCATCAATTTTCAATGTCCGCGCTGCTCGTTGTAATGAAGGATTTACGGCTACCATAACTGATACATCTATCCGCCGTTCAATAATTCCTCGTCTTAAACTTTCCACTTCGTTATTTTCCATCAATAATTCCAAATCGATAATCAACGCATCCATCTGATTTTTTTCGCGACTTTCCATCACCTCTTTGAGACTACCGAAGAATTTGGCAGATTTCTTTACTCCGCATTGTCGTAATAATTGATTAAATCCCACTTGATTTGTGCGGTGTTTTTCCAAAATGAATATTTGCTTGTTCGCTTGTGATGGAGAGACTCTTGGCATTGGGGGACAATTTGGATCGGGTTCCAAGTGTACATAGAAAATCATTTTCGTTCCACTGGCTGCATCTGTATTATTTTCTACAGTAATATCTCCATCCATAAGTTTAATTAATTTACGTACTATTGCTAAGCCAAGACCTGGAAAAAAATAAATAAATTAACAAGAGAAATTTGATTATGCAATTTATCGGTTATTATTAATTAACCTGTTCCACCATATCGACGTGTTATGCTTGCATCAGCCTGCGAAAATTTTTCAAATAATCGAGGCAATACTTCTTTTGATATTCCTACAATAAGAATAATAACGATTAATAGGTAACAAGATTACTATTTCCAAGATTGCAATCATAAAAAACCATACCAATTCCAGTATCAGCAACTTCAACTTTTACACAAATTTTACGTTCATTGTTTCGCATTCCATGGGAAGCACCGACTTTTATAATTACATCTCCATCCTTAGGTGTAAATTTACATGCGTTCGACAACAAGTTGACAATAATTTGTCGGAATCGCGTCATATCACCAACAACATTAACCGGTACATCATTCTCAATTAGATAACTAATATGTGGTCTTGGGGTACAATCTCGTCCCTGTCCTTGAAGCGCTACAATATCAACTGAGGTTTCGACAGCCTCTTGAACACAGAATGGAACCCGCTCCAAATGAAGATGCTCTTCTTCGTATTTCGAGAAATCCAGCACGTTGTTTATTATGGCAATTAACATGTCTCCACTCTTTTTGATGATCTCTAGCAAATCTCGTATTTCTGTCATCTCTTGATTTTCTAGATCAGGCATTTCGAGTAGCATAGATGTTAATGCAAATATGGCATAAAGTGGAGTACGCATTTCATGTGACATTACTATATAAATATAAAACTTTAGCAAACATGTTCTATTTTGTAACGGAAGAAAGTCGGTAATGATACAGAAATCAAATACCTGCAAGAAATTCACGATGCGCCTAACAAAAAAAAAGAATCCGTTGAGTAAATTCGGCTTAAATACAATGAGGTGCATGAATATACTAGTTGAGATGCATTTATTGCAGGGAAGTAACCCCCTCCTGAGATAATCCTATGATTGGATAGTGCATTTATATTTTATAGGGGGCCTGAGACATCCCTTTTATACATCCCACCCTATCGTCTCATGTCACGCCTCTTAAAAAAAAAAAAATTTAAATCTTACCTGGATCGCAGAAGCTTCTTTTTTAGCCTGTATCAATGCCTCATTTTGTTCAGCTAATTGGTGAATGCGAACCTATTTTAAATCATCGATTATTCAGTTGACGATTTTTCACTTACTAATTGCATTATAAGAATAGGCTACCTTATCCCGTTCAATCAAATCAGCTTGTGCTAGAGCAATTGAAATCTGTTCGGCAAGATCTTCCAAGAACATCAACGTGTTGTGTCCCCATTCTTCACGTAATGGATTATGTCTATCTAATCGCTGCATTACAAATATTCCATACTCATGATCGGAAATTAAGATAGGAACTAGAATGATCTAAAAGAATCAATGCGCAAAAGATTAGTAAGCAAAACTTAAACATCCATCCTATTTTAATTTCTCAATAACCACCTTATCTATCTCGTCATATTTCCCATCCAGATATAAATCATAAAGATCCATGTCGTTAACTCCTAATTTTAACGCGTGACCTTTCCCCATTGCAAAAGTTACAGGTTCACTATCAGGATTCAATTGCACATTGATTTCCGTATGGAATGGTTTACGTGATTCGTCAACATAATCGGCTACACATCGCCAACCTTCCACTCGTGCTTTTGCCATAAATATTTGACATCGATCCGCATCAAGAATTCCGCAAAGTTGAGAAGCTGTATTATGATAGATGACTTCTTTTGCGAGAGTTGCACGAATCTATTATAGCCAGAAAATTAATAATCGCGCATATATATATATATATAAAATAACATGTTGATAATAATCACGTGTCTCACCGCATGAGTCACGCGTCTAAAATTCGACATCAATGCATTTTCGTCACGAAGACATCTTTCCGAGATCAAACGTTCCGAGAGTTCATCTTTGTATTGAGCAGCCAATAATGGTAGTTCGAGTGCTTTCGGGATAATGACTGTCAAAGCGGCTGCAGTAAATAAGGACACAAAAGCACAAACCACCTTGGTTATCGCCGAAAGCACATAAGTTTGATGCCATGGCATCCATGCAGCAATAACATGAGTGGTTCCACAAAGAATTATAAATGCGGAGAATAATGCGAAAACGGAAGGAAATGGGAGGCGGGGTGCTGTAGATAGATGGGAATTATGTTTTATATTTGATTATGTTTTTCCGAACAGAGAATTAAAAAAAAATACCTTTTCTCATAAAGTACATCAACTGTAAAGGAATGGTATAATATGCAATAGCAATCGATATGTCAACGACACTCACAAACCAAGCAAGAGTCACATCTAAACATGACATGAAAAAACCCGATAATTAGATCATATAAAACTTTCTCATTCACAAATATCTTGCCAAAAGATTTGTCAATATAAGGCGTACTCAATGGTTGTAGGCATCTTCCACCTTCCAAGGTAATCAATTCATTATACTCTGGCCATCGATCAATGTGACCATTTTTTTCGAATTCGAAATAATATCCACGGCAATAATCTACACTCGTTAATGCGACTATAGATAAAAACGTCATGGATGATCACAGAAGTAGATCAAATTAATTTTTATTTTGTAAACAAATCTCATCGTCATTAGTAATTAATTTATTATTTGTTAAACTAATTAATTAACTAACTAATTAACGTTAACTAATTAAGCAGTTAATTAACGCACCGGTTCTTGTCATCCCCAATCCTGGTAAGTTTGAGAATGGCTCAGTCATTAATGTTCGCTCTCCATCCAGAACTAAAAATGTCTCTGGTAAAGCGGAATTATCACCTCGTTTAACAAGTTCTGTTTTTGTACTATGATTATTCGGAGCATATGATGAGAAAGGAGTTGTCGTGAATGCAGGTGAAATTTGCTGCTCAGCTACTATTGCATCTTCCTTCGCTAAGTGGTATTCAGTTCTTAAATAAAAGGTAATACCAAGTTTCCCAGTATACCAGTGTCCACCTGTTAGACCAAGTGGACCGGCTCCATTCACAAATTCTATTGCGGTTGTGTTGTCATTATTAATGTTATTATTCGAGGAGATTCCAGCTCCTCGAGACCATAAGAGTGGTATCGCACCAACTCCAACAATATACTGATAATATAAGAGCATAAAAAGTAAAAATATAAATGAAGTTTTCGAACGTGATCTTGTGCTATTGCGGATATTCGAGGTGGAGGAAGTAAGCATTGTCGGTTTGATAGAAGAAAGCAAGCGACACAGTGATAGCATTGACTCTTGCGCCATGTTTCAGTTATTATTTTGTTGCTTTGAGGAACACTTAATTAATTATTATTATAGTTCTACTGCTACTACGAGGACTTGATTGATTACTAAAAGCATAATATAATATCCTATAGTTAGCTGTTAACCGACTTTTCAGCCTTTTCCGAAACTGTCTGAGTTAATGGGAAAATCACTAATTATGGATCAAATGGTTGTCGTATTCGTCCTCGATACTAACAAATTGATTCAAATCAATTGTGTTGTTGATTTATTAATTAAATATAAAAATAAAAGCTGATTTTGGAAAGAAATTTTTGGAAAATCGATGTTGATTTTACTTCCACTGGCTATTTTTAAGTGTGTATGCGTAATTTTTTGAACTTGTTTGTTATTTTGGTAATTAAAATAAACCGGAAAAATGCGAAATACGTTTAGATGCAGCTGTGTACTATTTGTTTTTATATTATGTAAAGATTCAATTAATAAATTTAAAATAATGATATCATCAAAAAAACCTGTAAGCAGAATTATTACATATTTAATTAATTAAATTAATTTTAAAAACTGATGGTTGGTAGGTTTGTAAAGGCACAACATTTAGTGTATATAAATTAAAAAAAAAAAAGGTGATAGAAATTTCGACAGGGGATCGTGGTTACGCGTGTGTATTATTTTGTGCATATGGCAATTTATTACCAAAAATCAAATCATGTGTATCGCTATACATATATTGAATTTTTTTGTAATATATATTTTCCGGTTTACTTGTTAGTTTCAATGACTAAATTTGGTAAATTATAAAGCCTCATCGTGATCAATTTCTCTATCAGTATATTTGAAAGATTTATGTAGCAAATAATTACCTTTCAAGGAGCCTTTACACGCGTGTTACAAAATTAATCTTGACATCAAATACCTTGCATGTTTGGACCTTGTTCTTGTTTCAGTATTAAAATGTTAAATAATAGTTACATAATGAACCAATAAGCCCGGCAACACAAGAAAATGAGAATGTGAAAAATACGGGAACTAACCCTGATCCTAACCTTAAAATCAAATTTTAACGTTAACTAGCATTATGGTAGAATTTTTCGTGATGATCTTTATTAATTTAAACATTTGTAGCTTTAGAGTACAATACATTCATTAGCAGATTTCTCTAAATTCACAGCCAAACAACTATTCACACATATATCGATATGTTGTGCCTGAGATCGATGCTTGCGTCGATCACGCTTGCCCAAATTAGGATAGGAGTTTTACTAGAGTTAGAAGTAAATATGCCAAAATAATCACGATTCTAAAAATTGATTAATTTTGTAAGTCGGGAAAATCGATTCCTATCCCTAAATAGAACATTTACCGTTAACGTTAATTAGATAAGCAATCAACATTTATAAAATGATCAGACGGGCCGCAAAATTATGCAAATAGCTAAATTCGTTAAATTAATCGAAATTTCGAAGTTAACCAAATTTCAAGCAAAAATTTTCAACCCCCGTTTAAATCTAAGCTCCTGGATATATATGGATTGAAACCTGTTGTTGGAATCAATATATATAATTAAAAATTAAAGCATAGATGCACATTTAAAAAAATGATAATTGTACAAATTTTCAGAAAATAAAACGTGTTTGTAGCACAGATAATCCTTCTTTTATAAACAGGTATAACAGTTGGTGCCTTTTACCATCCTCTCATGGATAATATCTATGGTTTTGAAGGAATACCTGTTAATCAAAACACGAAAATGACCCTAATTACCAATATTGTGATGAACTTGACTTGATAAAGCAAAATAGTTTTGTACGCTTTTAGACGTTCATATACTAACGTTAACGTTAAGGTTTTTCTCAAGTAATAAAATTGAATGAAACTGGTTATTTAGTATTACCTGAAACAAATAATTATTTACATATATACGTAACATTATTTTCGGCTATGTGGTATATCCGGATAGTTTTCCAAAACTGAATAAAACCGGATTTAATAAAAAATTATCGTTATCTAGAAAATTCTAGAGCGCACATCTGTGATATATTTTCACATAACGACGATAGTAAAATTCTCGTATTTACATCATTAAATATTTTCATTTCCATAATAAAATTTATATACATAATCTTTGATCTACAAGAATTCGCTGTATATTTTTAAGCGAGTAAGTAGGCGTATTTATGAGTAGGTGTATTTATAGAGAAAAAGAGAGTAAAATTTGCTGGTAATAATAAAATCAATCTACTATTACAAATCAAATGATAATAGTTTAGCTTTGTACTTTTTAAGAATAGAAATAGAAATAAAAATAAAAATTTTGCAAAAGTTAATTGAAGAAATGTTCTCAAAAAAAAAGAAATGTCCATCATTGATTCTCTCATGTTTTCACCGTGTATAGACTTTTGGGATGTGTGTAACAATAGCTTAACCAGAATTGAAAATAAACGTCAACAACATCTTCACCACAAATCCCCATAACCCATGTCCATAGAATCATCGGATGCCGACGAAAAATTATTTCCCTATGATGTAGAATATTAGCAATTATAAATTAAATAAAAACAATATAATAGAAATCAAATCAAAAAATAAACCTGTGAAGTAGAAGAACCAGCGACGCATTCCAATTGATATTTATAGACGGCGGAATAATCGGCCACTTCCATCGAATCGCCAGACATCCTTACTATCAAGCCTTCAATATCTTGATCTATTTCGTCATTTTTTTTCGATTCCGAAGGTAAAGCAGAGTTTCGTAACCATTTTGATTGTTGTTCAATTGGCATTGATTCAAAACATCGCATCTTATGAACGAATTGATCGCTATATACATTTATTTGACGATTCAATTCTTCGTATGCTTTTTTATGCAATGACTCTATATAATTTTTATAATCGAGTGAATTAATTTGTGCATTAATTGACGATGAAGCTTCATCATTATTGATGGGTTTTAACTTTGTATTGTTTCTATTTATTGATGATGTTGTTGTTGCTGCTGCTGCTGTTGTTGATGATGTTGATGATGAAGATGAAGAAGTTGGTATAATTGTCGTGGTTGTGGGATTTGTTGTTGAACATTTATTTGTCTCGGATGTGGTTGTATCTGTCAATGCGGTTCGACCGTTCTTATTTTATGTGATTACATAAAATGATTCAGATCAGATGAGTTGATATCAATAAAATATGTCAGTATAATAGTTCATACCTTTGATGCGCCAGAATTCGCTATCCATTTTCGACGCGCCGAACGTTTTCTCGTAGTAACATTTGGAATAGCAAAAGTTCCACTACGCCATTTTGATCTTTTGTTCTTTAAGATGTTGGTCTTACCACCAGTCACTTGATGATGATAACATTCACCAGGATTTGTCGATTCGACAACCATTGATGAAGTTGATGGTGATAATAAAGAATCAGTCATCAAAGCGTTTGTGTGTAGCAAAAAAGAACCCGTCATTGAAGAATTCGGTGTCGATAGCAGCGTCGAAGGTTGTAGCGTTATCTTATTTTTATACATTTGATTTATTTACTTACAAGAAAGAGTATTGCTCGATTGAAACTTTCTGAAAGTAAAGTGCTGCGTACTTTCTAAAAAAAGAAATGTTCTCGTTTTGGTCCTCGAAGTATTTATTAATAGCTTTTAAATTATTTGGTTTGTTAGTAGTATTTGCTTACTACTGGTGCCTAAATATTTTCAAACAGTGGTCGGTATTTGTAAAAAATGTGAACTTGTAGTAACAGAACTTGTTTGCGTACGTGTGTTGTTTCTCTCCACCGAGTCTTTGGTTATCAGAAAAGACGACTTTATATAAATTATAATAATTGATAACGTAATAAAAAGTGGGTGGAGATAAAAGACGATGAGTATGATATCAATGTTTTTGTTTTTATCTGCATTGTTCATCTCCAATTTACAAAATTGGAAATAAAGTTATCACCAGATATCGATATGCATAGATTAAGAAGTTGTGATAATTTTAATGAATCACGATCAGCTCAAGAAATTAATTCGAATTTATAATTTAATAAATCATTAAATCATATCGATATGTACATGTCTCATATCGATTATTGCAGCCCTTAAATTAACAAGTAAAAAAAATTAAATGTTTGTTCATAATAAAATAACGCGCACCAACCGAATAAGCTGTTTCTCCCTGAAAAGTAACATTTGTCCTTATGATTAAAAAAAAGAATTGTGAATAGCGACCAGTTTGATTCTTAATAATGCAAAACCTAAATTCATCAATGTACAATATATTTTTTACAAATACCATCAAAGGTCGATTGTATTTAAAAGCTCCAAATTTGATTTATCTTTGAATACTACGCAATTTGTTGAAGAAGACTTTTATTTTATGAATAGAATTATCATACCGAATGTACTTGGGGCTCACTTTAGTTAGCATAACAAAATTATTTTTTTCGCCCGATATTTCAGGTGCCACTTTCATCATTTTTTATTTTATCGTTCTTACGAGATATTAAAAAAAGCGAAACAGATATTTATTGGCTTATTGTGAATTTTAGTTTTTTTTTAGTTAAAAACACAATTTTTAGAACATTAAATTATATTCGAACTTGCATTGACACGGAAAGAGAGCACAACAAAGTACTGATATTTTAGAGGCATAATGCCTACACAGAGGACAATTAAATGGAATATAATAAAAAAAACTGGCCGCCATTACTTTCGCCCAATATGGACGAGAGTAAAGCTGCCGGTCATAATAGTTTTGAACAATTACGACATGTTAATAAATGATCTCCCAGTGATGAACAAAATTAGGTCATTTGCTAATTGACAAGTGACTTTTGGTCACTTGTCACTAAATTTTGATATTAAAATAAAGTCATTTAGTAGGTCACTTTGAGATCATTTTGAGGTCACTGTCCAACACCGCGATCCCCCACAATAAATAATTACGAATTACGTACGACATAATATCAATCATAAATTACGGCGTGATGAGTACTGCATCTCAAAAAAAAAATTCTAGCGCCTCTAATGCCCCTGGTTTCTATACTCGTTTTAAAGCTAATAACCTAGCGAATTTTTTAAAATATATATAAATAATATTTTTATTGCCATTTTAGGATTTACATGTATTTTTTATTAGTGAAATTTTGACATTAATATTTTGTTTTCAAGGCAAAACCTGAAAAAATCCTCTATGAAAACTATGTGTATACCAATTTTCAACTAAATCAGAGCGTTGACCATTGAGATACAAATTAGTAAATTAATTTTCTCTTAATTTTCCTAAAATGGCAATAAAATTTTTTTCGTAAAACTTTTCGTGCAGTACTTTTGAAGATCCGAGGCTCAAGTATTACAGAGCAATGGCACTACCTGCCTGCATTTTTTTCTGGCTTCAGGCGTGTAATACAAGAAAGTGGATCGAACTCATTTAATTTCTTTCCCTATCTTATCAAACAAAGTGTATATCGCCCTAGTCTTGATTTCATTATACACTCAATTTTATTATACGCTCAATTTCTAGCTGTTGGATCGGTAACCTCCTCTCATTTTTCACAATATTATCAACCATTTTTTCGAATCTTTCTCATGATAGACCAAATTATCTTGAATAACTGAACGAACAAAAAATGCCAGGCACGAAGAAAAAGCAGAAAAATGAATTTTTTGCTATCATATGGTCATTAATAACCGTTCTTCCAAATGTACTTTAAAAACCGGTCCAAAAGATTTGTGCATTGATTGTTTAACTCCAAGTTTTCATCACTACTACACAGGATCAGTTAACAAGTCCCATAGGATGTGGGGGGAATGACACCACAAACAGCGGAAACGATACCATCACAACACAAGAGCCAACCCATCGCAAGTGAGGAAAATAACATCACCGATATGTAAGCCTGATTGTCTCAACAAATAATTTCCCGTGAGCAGGATAAGTTGCAAGGTTTGATGCAAGAACTCTATGCATATCAAAGTGAATCTTCCGAAGCGGACGATAATAAGAGCTCATTACAGAATACAGCTAGTGAAAACCACGAGCCGCAGGCAATTCATCATATGCAACGATATGCATTTAAATTTCTTGGCGCTATTTGGCTGGCTAAGATATTTTGGTGTTTAAAAATTTTAGAGAAAAAAAGAAAACGGGCCAGATTTTGAAACTTGTATTTTATCATTCGTCGCCTTTTCATATACACACGAATTCGAAAAAATGAGAATAGAAAGTTTAGGCAAATCATCCCAAGTATTCAACAGGAATGAAAGCTTTATGCTATGCAGACTTGCATTAATGATCAATATTATTTTTTTAGTCATGGACGCTGGGCATGCTTAGGAATCACTATTATATTTACAATTATAGGTCATACATTAGCAATATTTAGAGCCACGATTTGTGAAGGAGTTGTTGATATCGATATATCTTAAAGAAGAAAGTTCATATAACAATAATGATAAAACTATATCGATATCGATTAGAGTATGACTTTAATAAGTAATTTATTAGTAATGGTTGGTAGTTAATTTAAATTTAATTATTCTCAATGGCAAATAAAACTACACATATGATGAAAAGAAACGATTATTCTCAATTTTTCTTACTTAAATCCGACGTTTTTTATGCCGATGTTTTTAGGTCAAGAATTTACCCGATAATTTTTGCAAACCAATAGGATGCGCAAATTTTTGATCATTCCGGCAAAACAAATCCGACACATGGAATCCTAACCTTGAAATCAACCTTTTTGCAGTAGCTTTTCCGGGTCACATGATTTGCGAAAATTAAATCGCAAATCCAGACAAATCGTAACTTTTACAGGGCATCTTCTTGTTATCGTTATGAATTGTCTTGAGACAATATTTGTAGCCGTATCTATTTTGGGAACGAAAATGCAATTTTACCATTACCGTTACGGAGAATTAACCAAAAAAGAGAAATACATGTAATTGATTCATGTGATATCGATATGTATGAGCATGTACTAAAAATTAGCCTGTAAACAAAATGAGACCCTAAAAATTATAAAAAAAGAAATAAATCGATCGATCTAGAAGTTGATTATACGACTCATTTATCACTTTGCACAGCGTAGTTTTTAAATCTTAACAGTATATTAGACGAGGAGTTACTGCCACTAATTATGAGTTTAACTAAAACATTAATTACCGCATCCGCTACCTCTTCCAACTCTTCACGTTCTGGTTTACTGGTTTCGGCCGAGACAAGTCGAGGTAGTGGTGGCGTGAAATCAAATGGTATTTCGTCGAATATGACAAATACAAGTGCAACTAAATCTTCAGGATCAGAGAATGAAGACACTTGCCCAGTCTGTAAAAATTCTCGATATCTATCGCCGAACATGGTTTTATATGTGAGCGAGTGTTACCATAAAATGTGGGTTTTTATTCTATGAGCGTGAGAATATATATATGATCTAATTTTGATAAATATAGGGCAAAAATTTAAATTTTTCTTTGATTATTTAATTTTCTTAGGTGTGAGGGGTGTGTAAATCGAACATTTGCAAATGGAGCACCAACTTGTCTTCAATGTGGTAGAGCAGTAAAGCGGATAAATTTCAAATTACCTACATTCGGAGATTTACTGGTTGAGAAAGAAGTAACTCAGAGAAAATGGGTTGCTTCACAGTAAGTTTTTGGATGATGATGATGATGTGATGATGACGGTTTATATTATTGATTTGCATGTCAGAAATAATTTTACAAAAGTAATGACTGCTCAATTTATTCCAAAAGAATTTTAAAAAGAAGAGAAGATTTTGATACCTTACGTGATTTTAATGATTATGAAGAAATTATCGAAGATTTTGGTAAGTATTGCTACTATTACTATAAAGTCTTGACAGTAATGAGATACTAATTCAATAATTTCTTGATTACGATCAAAGTATGGAATTTAACTCATGATATTGACATAGAAGAGACGAGAGAGAAAGTTAAAGAATATGCAAAACAAAATCAAGATATACTAAAAAAAAATAGAGACAAAATAGTAAATATTTAGTTTGTATCTGAACTCTCTTTCTTCTCTATCACTGTAAATCACAACTAAACGCTTTGCTCTTTTTTATTATAGAGAGAGGAAGAAGCGCTGGAAGAAGAACGTAGAAGAAAAGAAGAGAAACTAAAAGAAGAAAATTTCCAAAAATATCAACAAGCTCTCGCAGAAGAGCATCAACTTAAGTTAGCTCAAAAAAATGATGCGATTGATATACTGGTTAGATGAGAGAAAAATCCATTATAGAGATTGTTGACTACGTTTTTCTCTTTTTTAATCAATATATTTTTCCATTCAATCATAAATAATAATCAAGGCCACATTTAAGGGAGATGTTAAAGCATTATTAGCAGAGCAGAAAGCTGCTAATGATCGACGGAAATTGCTTAGTAACTCCCCGTCATTACAAATACCGATTCTTCAATCGATAGATAGTGGCGTCGGGGTTTATAGCAATGAACAAGAAGTCACGGATGATTTTCCAATGGAACTCGACCCTATAAATTCACCTTATGAAGATGTTCGCCTATACACACACAAAGAAAAATATAGTGACACGTATGATATCATTCAATTTTTTTATCTCGATTTTTTTTAGATTATATTATTAACTTTTCAAAAAAAAAAATAGGTATACGGAGATCAATGATAAGCTTAAAGCTGGTGGCTTTTCAATAAAATTTGTACACGAGCGTGCACTTCAAGCCGCTTTTTCTGGCTTATTTTTGGCTCCTTTAACAGTGAAAGATGAGGATGGGGACGTGTTAATGTCATAATGTCTGATTGAGTTTCGTCATGTGCGCGGTGATTTGGGGTGGGGTGGGGAGGAGTATATAAATGCACTGAAGAATCATATTAGAAAGTGTAAAACTAATTCATAAACTCGATTTTAGAATCTATATAAAAATTCAAAAAGGAATAAATGATTTGTTATTATACCCTAAAAAAGAGAGATATATATATATCTATGTATATCTATATACATATATGTATCAAAGTAGTCCTACTTTTGCTAAATATAGAAGATTATTAAATCATTCAGTTTGCAACTAACATTGTTTATTGAATAAATGTAACACTTTCTACTTTTAAACATTCGTTGTCCAAATGCAAGTTAAATACTTGCACGTCCAAACGTCCCGAGATTTTACTGGATCATTACAACAAATCAAAATTGATCTTCGATCCCGATATTATTGTATTTACTAACGCTAAAAAATAAAATAGAAAGAATAAGATTCGCAGATGAATTTTTTTCATACTATTCAAGCCGCGGAAACTTTAGAGGCCGCACATCCTAAAGCTTCTTCATCTCTCGAGATATTACGAAAAACACCAACTTCAGAAAAGGTGCTCGGACAACAGAAGCGTGTTTTTGAAAATTTTGCCTCGGTTGATAAAAATGGTCAAAAATATATGACGCAAGATGATTTCATCGCGGCTATTGCACCCGACGAAGATTATAAAAAAATACAAAAAGAACAATTCGCGATCCTATTTCGGGTTGCTGACGCTGATCGAAAAGGTTTGGTATCATTGCAAGACTTTGTCGTTTTCGAAAATTTATTATCGAAACCGGACGCGGACTACGAGATTGCGTTTCGGCTATTTGACATTAATGGTACCGGCAAGGTTACCTTTGATCAATTCAAAGAAATCTTGAGTGCGAATTTGGGACCAGATAGCGTTCCTTTTGATTACAATTGCGATTGGTTGAACTTATATGTTGGCGTTGATGGGAAAAAGCATGACCTCGCATATGAGGAGTTTTCGCAATTGTTAAAAGGGATTCAGGGGGAGCGTCTTCGACAAGAATTCAAGTATTATGATAAAGATCAAATCGGATTTATAAACCCGGATGCCTTTAAAAAGATTATTTTATCGATTGCGAAGCATAAGCTTTCCGATTCGTTAATAGAACATCTACCAACCTTGTGTAATGTATCAGCTGGTAATAAAATAAGTTATGCAAACGTAGTTGCATTTTATAATGTGGTCAGGCAAATGGATATGGTTGAACGGATTGTTCTTAAAGCCATTTCTCAAAGTAGCGATGGTCGAATCACAAAGAATGATTTCTTAAATGTGGCGGCCAAGTCGACGCGTTTCTCGCTATTTACTCCATTAGAAGCTGATATAATCTTTCATTTTGCCGGTCTCGGTAATCCATCCGGTAGATTAGGTTTAAGGGATTTTGCACAATTGCTGGATGCGAAATGGCAACAACAACCACAAATTAAGACGGTAGTTGAAGTACCAACAAAAAAACACGAGGGAATATGGTGGGGAATCTTACACCAAATTTATTCTTTTACATTAGGTGCAATTGCTGGTTCTTTTGGTGCTACCGCTGTTTATCCCATTGATCTTGTAAAGACACGAATGCAAAATCAACGATCAAGAGTAGTCGGTGAATTACTCTATCAAAATAGTGTCGATTGCTTTAAAAAAGTCGTAAAAAACGAAGGCGTATTAGGCCTCTATAGCGGATTAGGACCGCAATTAGTTGTAAGTATTCACTTATCATACAAAAAGATATTCATGATTTGTTCTAAATTTCCTGCTATTTTAGGGTGTGGCACCAGAAAAAGCTATTAAACTGACAGTAAATGATTTTGTTAGAAGATTAACGAGCGATCCTAAAACAGGTGAGATTACATTGGCAAGTGAAATATTTTCTGGGTCTACTGCTGGAGGTTGTCAAGTGGTATGTAGTTTATGTTGATTGTAAATAAACAAATGATATAGGATGATATTTATTCTCTTTATTTTTTTACTTTAGATTTTCACAAATCCATTAGAAATTGTGAAAATTCGTTTGCAAGTTCAAGGAGAATATTTGAAAATGAACGTAGATGCACCCCGAAGATCTGCCATCTGGATAGTAAAGCATCTTGGTATCGTCGGATTATATAAAGGCGCGTCCGCCTGTCTTCTACGTGATATTCCATTCTCTGGCATTTATTTTCCGGCATATGCTCACTTAAAGAAAAATGTTTTTAAAGAAGGACCAGAAAAAAGACTTAGCATCACTGAGCTTTTATTAGCAGGCGCAATCGCTGGTATGCCAGCTGCTTATTTCACAACTCCGGCCGATGTAATAAAAACACGTCTTCAAGTAGAAGCACGTACAGGAGAAACTGTATATAACGGTATTGTGGATGCTGCACGAAAAATTCACCATGAAGAAGGTTTTAAAGCCTTTTTTAAAGGTGGACCTGCACGTGTTCTTCGATCCTCCCCACAATTTGGTGCTACACTAATGGCTTACGAGGTATTGCAGCGATGGCTGCCTTGGGGTTCTACAGAAGAAAAAGTCGGTAGAGCGGTTGGAAGTGCTTCAGAAACTGGCGATTTGGGATATTTGAGAAGTCGGAATGCACTAAAGATCCTTTTGGTAAGTTAATGGTCAAACAGAATAAAAATTCTTGTTTTTTTATAAAGCTCTTAATCAAATATTGATTATACATTAGGACCTTGATTACAAATTCGGTGTATCTCCAAAGTCATTTCCCGCGCAACAACAACAACCATAATTAATTTTATTCATTTTTCTTGGTATTCTAATTAAAAACGGACATTCGATTCTATCACTTCACTTTTGTATATTTCATCCACATTCATATTGATACACAACCAAACACGCATACAATACAAAGAGAATAAAATAACTATTCTTATAGATTTTATAGAATTGTATATTTTTCGATTATATACATAATATAGATTTTTATTTATTATTGGGTGAATACGAGGACGGTTTCTTAATTTTCAAATACACGCATTATATACATAATACACAATATATCGGCATTTTCATCTAAACAGTAATTCTTTTATTTATTATCTTTCAATAATCGATTGATTAGAAAAAATTTTGTTATTTAGACATATCCTGTTACTGCAAATTTGTATCTAATTTATTTATTTCTTATTTGCATATTCTTTTAGTGAAAGAATATTTTTTTTATCAAAATAAAAACAAAATTAAATTTTTTTTATTATTCATGTAAATATAAAGGTAAGCTCATCTATACAATACAATACAATATAATAATAAATAGATGCGAAATAAATTATAAGTAGTGTACAACATATGTTTGTGTCAAGCTTTAAATAAATAAATGAAAAATAGATAAAAAATAAATGAAATGATCGACACAAAATATAAAAGTTCCATGGCAATCTAAGTATATCGTAATAGAAAAATAAGTAGCAACCAAAAAACCTGAAAATCAAAATTTGGTCTACCTGCACTGCACACCATAATATTTAATTCCATCAGCACCAATACATATAAAGTGAGGGTTGTTCACGTTTGTTCGTGGATCTTGGTCCTTCACTTGACATTCGACTATATTTAGTAGTCTGTGTGTTTGTAGATGATGAGTCATTAGTACCGCTAAAATTCGATTTCTCATGACTATTATTGAGACTATGCTCACTCTTGTACTCATTATTCTCGTAGTAATCATCGTAGATATTGATGTTTTCATTATCGCTTAACATCCAACTCACAGTCCATTCCCACAATGCAGCGACAATTGATGTTTGTGGAGCCATCGATGGTTCTCGTATTACTGGTCTTCTTTTGGGTGGGAGGATTCTGATAGAAGTTTGAGTGGCAATTTCCCTAGTGCTTTGTTCCAAGGATTTATCATCAGGGATTATTATCTGTGCTGGTTCTTCTGAAATAGATTCGCTAGCTTCATGTACGTTCGACAATTGTGGATCTTCAGGGTTGAACTTTCTTTTACCGGTCATTGTTAGAAATATTTCTGATATATACATACTCCACGCAGCATTAATTTCCTCCTCATTTCCCTCACCAAAATTTTCGCTTGCAATCAATAGTTCTACCAAGATTTTTGGTATTGCTATATTCATTTTCTCTTCAAGAATAGCAAAACATTTTGTTAATCGAATTTTCGCTTTTTCCCTGAGATCTTCAGCGTCATCCGAACTACCTTCTTTTATTACCTCAGAATATTCTGGTAGCCAATCTTTATTACGAAAATGAATAAGGGAAGCCAATAGTAGTCCATTATTCATACTGCTAAATTCTTCGATTGGATAGACGGTAGCTGGTAATTGAGATCCATAAGCAACAAGCTGCATATTCAGCCAAAATTTCAACCACGAAGTAGAAGTAGAAGGCGCAGAATTCGATCGTTTATGTAAAGTTTGAAAACGCGAAAGTTGTGGGCGATCACTTTTGCGCGATGGAAGTGATCCAAGAGGAGCAGACATTCGTTTATTTACACGTGAAGTTTTTGTAGTTGATGATTCCCCAATTAATTCCGAAACTTCTTTTGAGGATATTGGACTAATTGATGTCATTCCCATTAATGACGAATCTTTCGATGATGAATGAGAACTGGATTCATCGGATATATTTGATGAATTTTCAATAGCTTTTGTATCTTGATGCTCTTCGAGAGTAAGAGAAGATAATGAAGTTGGTGATTGTTGGGTGTCATGAGCTGGAATTTTTAATGGCGGCAAGGATCCAACATTTGCTCTTTTAAGTTGTACCACATCATTATTTGATTGTTCTTGGATTTCTTGATCATTCATGTCTTTTTCATCGTTTGGATCATTTTGATCTTTCAATTCCATTTCATTTTTTCTGTCATCTTGTTCATTAATAATATTATTTTGATCATTATCATTATCATCGTTAATATTATCAACTAGCTCATTGATATTGTTATTTTCATGATTTTCAGTGCCCTCCATTTCAATTGGTTCTTGAAATATTTTATTTGATTCCTCATCAAGAGAGGAAATTGATTCGTTTTTTGAGCTTTCTGAACGTTTTCTTATCATTTCTTGTTTTCGCAATTGTTCTTGTTGTTCCTGTAGCTGCTCTTGATTTTGTATAACTTGATTTTCAAACATGACAATACGATCATAAAGAGCATTCTGAGTGAGATATGGGGATTTTGGACTAGAGAGTTGAAGATCCGAAAATTTATCCCAAATAGGCGAAGTTACTAAAGTTGGCGAACTGACACTTCCCTCGGGCCAATCCGATGCATTTTCACTTTCATTTAGTAAATATTCATTTGACCCATTTTCACTAAACATTTCTTCCTCTACTCTTCCTTCCTCCGCGACTTCGAATATTTGAGATAATTGTTGATGCTTTGCGATCATTAGCCACAATAATCCTAAAGTCAATTTAACATTACCGTCTACGATATCTACCGGACCGATTGCTTTTAAAGCAGCTAACCCAGAATCATCCAATTTCGTTTCCACGAATTTTAATACTTTGTTAACATTAGCGACATAATGATGACGCGTTTTACCACGTTCTGGCTTCGGAAGCTCTTGATCATTAGGATGAAGTGCATGCAACAATTGTATTAAGCGTTTTCCGTCACGAAAATCTTGATCAATCGCGGTGATATCGGGAATTTTACTTGCGTTTTCATCAAGCGGAATCGATCGTAACTGAATGTTTACCCATTTTGTAAAAGTTGCTTTTTGCAAGGGAGTATATTTATCCGTGGATACAGTATAAAACTTTTGTTTGACATTTACTACGGAGGTTGTTTTATCCCATTGTTTAACAAATGAGCTACGTCGACGTGGTTTATTTGGCGAAGGTGAAGCCTGTGGTGGTGGTTGTTCTTGAGACATTTAGATAAAGTTTCAGTACAGACTCACAGTTTCGCAACGATATGAATATTTATAGTTATCGTTATCGTTTCGTTTCTATTTCTAAGTTTCTAAAGCGAAGCCGTAACTTGGGATTCAGAAATGAAGGCTGTAAGACGATAAGACGCGTCTAAGCGTTCGAAGCAATGAGAGTATATCGCTTATATAGATAAAAAGAACTTACGAAAGAAGGGGTATGGTGGACCAAAGCTTCCTATGGAAGAAGGGGTATTGTTGACCAGAGCTTCGCTACGAAAGAAGGGGTATGTATGTATTGTGAACCAAAGAATAGGACTTGGCCTTGTTCACATACACAAGAAATTTTATAGGGAGAAAGTACAGTTTGTAATATAATGTTACACGATGTAGCATTATTAAACTCGAGATTTTTGATTAGAACCTAAAAATATGCATATTGATATGCATGACCTTCACGTTCACTATTAAATAGAATATAATATGCCAACGTGTGTAGAGTGTGGAGCACCCGTTACAAATCTTTACACGGAATACAGCAAAGGAAATATTCGTCTGACTCAATGTGTTGCGTATCTTTTTGATTCATGTGATACGCAGTCTCTTGTTTCATAGTATTCATGAGATATATTCTTTTTTTTTTTTAGGAAAAATGCAAAAAATTTGCAGATAAATATGTTGAACATGATTTTGTCATCATTTTCATTGATATGGTTTTACATAAATCTCAAGTTTATCGACATTTATTGTTTAATCGATTAGAATATCGAGATCACGGGATTGATGTAAGTCACGATAATTCTTTGAATGCCTGCATGTATTTATCGCGAACTGATTTTATTACCAATAAACGAATTGATTTCTAGCCAAATGTACTTAAACTTGGCATATTACTGATATTGTTTGATGTTTGTATCCTTTTGATTTGATAGAGAATAATGGATATAATCAATAAATATTTCCTTTACTACATAATCATCATTCTTTTATCAATCTTATAATATTTACAATAGATATAAAATGGTTTCGACTGGAAAAGCATTATCCCAATAAAAATTTCTCGTTTAACGAACAACCATTGTTCATTCAATATCTATACATACTATTTCTTTGTGTGATTGGTAACTATTATAATATCCTTTTTTTTCTTTCGATTCAATGCTAATTAATTAATAAATGTTATTATTATTATTATTATTATTATTATTATTATTATTATTATTATTATTATTATTATTATAGAATTCATAGTTTTCCAATTTGGTGTAAGATTGGCTGTCAGCCTTTATATCGGAGATCGATACGCGATAATAAAGTATTACTCGATGATTGATTTTTTATTCTCATTATATACATTGAATTTCTGATTAATCTATATCTCGCCCTTTAGGTATAACTACATCACCACAGCATTAATAATTTCCAGTTTTGGTAAATTATTGTTAATATTAATGGTGATCTGGGATTACAATGAGCTAGAGTATTCGTGGTTAATTAATATAGTTGTGCTCACATCGAATATCGAGGCTCTCTCCGGTATTCTATTATTGATCATTTACAACTTGTGTGATTGACGCTATTGAAACTAATTTTGCATCTTCAATTCTTTTTCTAGTATTTCTAAATATTGGATATTTGCAAACTTTTTTAATAATGTTTGTTGGATTATTGATTAAATTATCGGCTCAATTCTTTTTGATACAAGTAACAAATAGTCCATTACTATTAACATTATCCGTGTATTGAGATTCGTTCCAATAAAATTTCACACTGTCGATCAAAACCCCAAAATTCACGTCGTACATAAAACATCTCAAAATAAATAAAAACATTGCAACGAAATTGGGAAAAGCCTCAAAAATGGTTGTGCAGCAGTCTACTGATAATTATTCCATAAATAATGGTAATTTACAGCAAGAACCAAACTTGGAAATTAATTCAACTGTAGCAGAACAAGTTTCAAAGAAAGTAGGGGCTTTCATAGTAAAAGATCTCGGATATGACAGTATTTCAGGGCAAGCTTTGGATGCTCTCGGTTTCCTTATGAGTGCCTGTACTTATTAGCGTTATGAATCTTCACAATTATTATAAAATCTGATCATTATCTCTCGCAATAGTCTTTGAGACAATAGCCAGCTCAACACACAAGTATGCTGAACTTGGACGGCGACATACGCCCAATCTATACGATGTCGAAGAAACACTGAACGGGTTGGGAATAAAAACTGAAGCACTCGAAGAGTACATGGTGAGTCACAATGCAAAATGTACAGAAACATGCGCGAGAAATCATGATAGACAACAAGAGTGTAAAGGAGGTGAGAATTAATTAGCTTACGATGATGTATATGGCCAATTGTTGAAGGAAATTGATACGATTTTTTTATTATTAGCTAAATATAAAGCGTTTAGTTTAAAACTAAGATCTGCTTTTATTCCTGCTCCTTCAACGTTGATACCAGAATTGCCAAATCTGGTAAAAGACGATGACGACGATGAAATTAAACAACAAGAACAATACACAAAAAGTACTGTTAAAGAGGCAAAATCAAAAAAAACACCACTCGGTAAACACATACCGAAATACATACCATCTCATTTACCTGCTTTCCCACCAAAGCATTCATACAAAAGTACACCGGTAGGTGATGATCATTACGCATTTCTAGTAATAGTATCAACAGAGGTATTAATTTGAGCAATATTATGCAGAAAGTGGCAAAGATTATCGAAGATGATCAAATAACACGACGGGAACGAAATATTCAACAAGTGAGAATGATGGAGAATAATCTTCGAAAATTAACGACGATGGAAAATCGAATGTTTTACTATCCGACTATGGTTATCGCTGATGCAATCAATGAAAATAATCTATTAAGATTGAACTATTCAATACCAATAATCAATTTTAATGCATACGAATATCAAGACTCACTTGAGCAGGATGACAAGAAAGTCAAGAGCCGAACTGCTGGCACAATGAACTTGCAATTATACGAAAGTGCAACGCAGAAGCAAGGAGTAAAAATAAAACATCAACGAAGAGAAGAGAAATACGATGAAGAGGGTTTTGTTACTTTCTCTAGCAAAGATAAAGGTAAACAGAAGGCAGAAATTCAAAGTCCTCAATATCTAGAAGAGGAATTTTATGAGGAATTGGATGATATGGAATTTGAGGAAGTGTAAATTAAGAGATTAATTCTGAAAGAATGTGCAAGATAAACATAATAAATGATCACAAATACGTGGGTCTATTATGCATAAATCATGTATTTCACTTTTGAACTTTTATTTTGTGATAAATTTTTCACTATTTATAAAACAATTTAGTTTATCGTCATTAACATTTACGAAACACGCACACTGCCTGTATTCACGTTTAACCACTTAAAATCTCGAAAATTCATTATCATCCTTGATGAATTGCCATGCGTCCGTGTCCAAATCACGAACGCGACGTCTTAATGATTCCATCAAAGTTTTATGATCAATAGCTTAGGTAGTCAATACAAGTTATGAATTTTCCGTGGACGGGAACAATATAGCGTGAAATTATTAGGAAGTAAAAGAAAAATTAGTAAAGATAAATTAAAATTAATTTTCAAAAAAAAATTCACACCATATGGCATTTGCGAATTGTCCACATCCGTCATCAATTCTTCCTTTACATCTGACGGTGATGGAGAACGTGATTGTTCTATATAGCAAATAAATAATAAATAATAAATAATAAGTAATAAATAATAAATAATAGAATATTGTCAAACGCATCCAGGATGAAAATAAGATGAATTTTTTACCTGGTGGATTTCCATCATTATTTCCTCCTCCACTATCACCAGCAGCATCACCAGCAAAAATTTCCATATTCACAGTGCCAATTGGAAGAATCAATTGATGAGCTGCTATATCCACGTTATTACTATTCTGTGGTGGTGAAAGACTATGTGCTACACTATTCGGTGATGCTGGTTCTTCGCCATTGGGTGAAGATGATGATTCACTTTCAAATAACAATTCATAAGGTCGCTCACGTGGTTCGATATCACTGTCACTGTCAACTGAATACATATTCAAGAAATTGTTATTTGGACTGTCTTCAGTCTCCAGATAATAATAACTATTCCCATTACTTCCATTGTTATTGAGATGATGACTATTATTATTTGCATGATTATTATTACTATTACTATTACTATTGTCATTGTTGTTGGTATTATTACTATTATTGTTGTTATTGGTATTGGTATTGGTATTGGTGCTGATGTTGACATTATTGTTACTGCTGCTGCTATTGTTACTGTTGCTATTACCATTTCCATTTCCATTATTTGCTAATGATGTGGTGGTGGTGGTGGTGTTACTAGTATTGGTGTTTGTGGTAGCAGTGGTAGTAGGAGTGTTACTACTTGCCGCGACAATATTTGCCGCGATTACTCCGGCAATTCTTACGTCATTTGATGATGCATATGGTAACCCAATTGTGGCGAAAGAACTATCAGTCATTAATGTCGGTGTGATAAAATTGCTGTTGTTATTACTACTATGAGTAAGACTTGCAGAACTAGGCGAGAATACGAACGGAAGATAATGTGTTAACGTTGGAAAAGATGAGTTAAGGAAGGAGGTAGGTGCAATCATGGTAGAATTGATGGGTATTGCAGGTGGGGTAAAAGACCTATTGAATAAATTACTATTACTAGTGTTGTTGTTGTTGTTAGAAGAGTTAGAGCTGCGATTTGAGTTTCTACTACTACCACTATTGTTATTAGTGTTATTATCAGTCATAGTGGTAGAAATCACTGAATTCATCGTAACATCAGTATTATTACTGCTATCATTGTTGACTGCTCTTGAAGTTGAAGTTGATGATGACATCGAAGACGATGACGAAAAGAATTTCCTTGATTAGTAGTAAGTTAAGTAAGTTGCTGCCTGAATCGTTTTTGACAATTAATTGCTGTTGATGAAAATGATAAATGTCCGTGGCGCGTTCCTCTTCAGGCATTTGCATTCTTTGATCATACAAGATGTAATTAAGAGATCATGATATAGATGCATAACGAGTTTCCTTGTAAATTCAAAATTTCATATATCCCAGTAATGATAACGCTCTACTCACAGACACCCATATAAAGTCAGTCACTTCAAGGCTCAAACTGTGTCGACTATTTGGATTTTTGTATAAAACCGAAGTGATATATTAAGGTGTTTTATGAATTCAGTGAATGTGCTGAATCCTTTTATTGGTGTCAACCAATAGAATTCGCCGATTAATTAATTTAGCATCAGATTATGTTATTCTTTATTTGGATAATCTAACCAGAAGGATTTTCCGCACAAACGAATATTCACATGTACATAAGAAGACATTCATGTGATTGGCTAATTTATGTCGATCCAAGCATCATTAACTTTTATTTAGATTCAAAATTATAAAGTAAATGATATATGTATATATATGTAAAGCTTTTCTTTAAGATTAAACATCTTGTTTGTCTTTTTTCGTTGACTGTTTTCAGCATAATAGTACATATATAGCGTTGGTAATAGTAGTAAATAAGTAAAGTTTTTTGCCTTCTAAGTAAAGTATGTCAGGTTTTGGATTCTTTGGAGATTCTTTTGCATAGTGAATATTAACATTCGTTTAAAGCTAGAAATGGTTTTACGATGATTTTTTATTAGTGAAACGTGACGTTCTCAAAAAGTTCTTTAAAGTATCCCAGACAATTGATTTATATCAGCCAATCATATGAAAGTATTCCTATAACAAGTATGTTGTATCCTAGCCATGGCGAAAAAATGTACGTTGCACGTGATATTAATAAGTTCACTAAATATCCGATTAATATTAAATATCAAGTATTAGGGTTAGGGTTAAAGCTGATATCAAGATTATATATAAAATTGTCTTCTCGATATTTTTTGATAGTGTACCAAGCTAAATTTAGATATTTGTTTTTTATTTTTCACATTTTTCATTTTTTTTTCATTTTTTTATATTGGATTTATTTTGTCAGGTTGATCAAATTTGCTATATTCCTATTGGTTGCGCATAATTTTTGTGCATTCTTATTGGTTGGATTGGTTCATTATCACATGTCTCATACATTTTTTTCATCATGAATACTAATAAGTATATAATATATATAGTAATAAAGTAATAACAAAAAAAATATCAGATTATATTGTCATCATTTGATATTGTCACCATTGTGACATGTTATATATTATTTAGCTATTTGTTGACACATTTATGCAAAAGATCAGTTAGATGAGCATAGCATCATTACTAAGAGAAGCTCAACATTTATATACAATAATGATATAATGATAGTATTGTCACCATTTTCAGAGTCATTTCCTATGATGATATTTCTGAAATATGGCGAGTGACTGTGTTCAATTGAAAGGTTGGACTACTGAACTATCAAAACT